GAGGTCTAAACATTGAATTTAATAAATAAATAAATAAATAAAATTATATGCTACAAAAACAGTTCACTGTTCAGCTAAACAGTTACAAGAATTATAACTTCAGTCTCTCTCTCAGGAAGGAATATCCAGCTGCTAGGCCCAACAGAGATGTCAAAGAATAGCATGCATCAACATAGCTACACCACATGATGCCATAAGAGGCAGATGGAGGGGGTCAGTTGCTAACTGGCTCTGTGATGCCTGAAAGGGAGCCAGAAAAAGAGTGTCTCAACCTGTGTCTCTATCATGAAACTCTGATGTGCGGCACAGCAACCATGCACCCCCCCCCCACTAGGATCTAAATGGAGAACTATAAATACTGTTGTTGACAGTCTGGCATATGACCACTTATCTACTGGCATAACTCCTATAAAAGCATGTTTTAAGTATCTTATATATTTTTATTCCTGCTTGTAAACCAGCATGGAATACTTTTAATATATTGGGCTTATTAATTTTATTTTTTGGAATGGGAAGGAAAAGAGAATGATCACTAGCGGAAGTCTCTCTCCTGGTGAGTAATACATTAGGCTTATACATGGTCTCTCTCTCTCTCCACCAATGTCATCCTCAGAACAACCCTGAAAGGTGGGTTAAGCTGAGAGAGATGGTGACAGGCCCAAGGTCACCCAATAAGAAGCATAACCAAGTATAGCTTTGAACCTGGGTATCCCGAGTCCCTGTCCAACTCTCTAACAATTACTCCACACTGGCTCTAAATCTGCACTTTCCTTGTGTTACTCAAAATTTCTTATTTAAAACTGTTTATATCCCACACTCCTTAACGAATACAGGATCTCAAGGCAGTTTACAAACATCATATATAAATAGAAACCATTTACATTTATATTAAAATAAACCAATAACAATATTTTCAAATGAAAGAAAGAAGTCCAAACTAAACAAAATGGTTGAGGAAAATCAATCTTTGTATAAGGCGAAGCATCAGGAAGCACTGGTACTTTGCATGTCCATTCTCACAATACAAGAACTTGTGGGCACTCAATGAAACTGCTCAATGAGATTGCTGAGCAGTTGGGTTAGAACAGATGAAAGGAAGTACTTCACCCAAAGAGTGATTAACACATGGAATTCACTGCCAGAGGAGGTGGCGGCGGCTACAAGCATGGACAGTTTCAAGAGGGAATTAGATAAACATATGGAGCAGAGGTCTATCAGTGGCTATTAGCCATAGGGTATAGATAGGAACTATTAGTCTGGGGCAAGTGATGCACTGTATTCTTGGTGCTTGGGGGGGGGGGCAACAGTGGGAGGGCTTCTAGTGTCCTGGCCCCACAGCTGGGTCTCCTAATGGCACCTGTTATTTCTGGCCACTGTGTGACAGAGTGTTGGACTGGATGGGCCATTGGCCTGATCCAACATTGGCTTCTCTTACGTTCTTATGTTAATTCTTCCCACTGCAGGAGCCCACTCTGTGCCAACTGGCTGGGAAAGGGGAAGACACTTCCTGGGAAGGGGAAGGAATCAGACTCTGAACACAAACAACCAAAACATGGACTCCTAACTGAAAACGGGTGTTCTGATCCCTCATACATGCCTCTGGGAAGCCTCAACAAACTGACAAGACAGGGAAGTCCAACAGCACAAGGCCCTAATGATGGGACAACTGTTTATATCTTAAACACAGTTCCAGAAAGTTTCAACCTGTTACCTGCTCATACTGGTGTGACAAAGATACCACCTGCAGTCCCATACCCCCGCCCCCATACTTGGGCATCACAAAGGCATATGATTGTCACAATTAATGCTAGTTAATGCTTAAAAGCTTTTGACAGGACGGAACAGCAGCAATGATGGTAAATTTAAAAGCTGGACTGCACCCATCTATGACTACCCATCAGCAAGAGTGGTTTGTTTAGGTGTTACCAGAGTGTGGATAAGGATTGCCATATATTGCTTTTCAGGAATAGACAGCGGTTGGTATACCAACTGAAGCTGGTAAACTACACTACATATTGCGAAGAAAATCTGCACTTCTACCTGCAGACCTGGCTCTAACAGTACTACAAAATGGTGAATCTATTTATTTAGGGAAAATGCAATCCTGTTTGACAAATGATGCATTAGTCTTATCTGAACTGAGTTCACTGACCTCATCAAACCCACTATGCTGGAGATAAATGCCACAAGACAAATAATTATCTCCCAATATCACTTCCTGGTATCTCTTCGTTTTGGTCCTACCTGGCTATCAGAGTACTGTGCCTCCACCCCAGCCAGCTAGCCCAAAAGGTTACCAAGGTCAGTTGTACTGAAAGCCTCAGCAAGATCCCAAAGAATCAACACGATTATGCTCCCTCTGCTTGTTTTCTGGTAAAGATGGCCCACAGTGTTTTAGTTCCAAAATCAGGTCCAAAGAAATTGAAAGGAACTTGAAAATCCAACTCATCCAAGATACCCTGGAGCTGGCTAGCTACCACATGCTTAAGCACCTTGCAAAAAAGTGGAATATTTTTATCTAGTCACTGCTTCTTCAGAAGAAGTTTCATAGTTGCCTCAGTCAATGCACTGACCCATCCTTTAATAAAACATTTGCTGTTTATGGGATCCATCCCAACAATCCCTTTCGACTAGATTTAATAATCCAGAAAAAGCTAAATATGGACAACATAAGGTTGGACCCAACCAGTTTCTGTTGGAGCAAATGGAAGGAATAGTCCCCTTTAACGAACAAGAAGTCTGTCTTGGGGGAATCATGGGACCTGCATAGTCAAAAGCCATCTGGGATGTGGACTATTATGGTAAAAAGAGGAATTCTGTGCAATTAAATAAAAAGATGGCTGGATCCAACTCAGGCTAAAAGGCCTCCAAGCATCTAATGAATAATACATAACATTTTTTGATTTATCCTCTTTCCCTTTCCATTTTTTCCCACAGTTTGTTCTTCCATTACTTCATTCTACCATATCACATTTTGTTATTTTTTTAAAAGAAGAGAGTAATTCCCATATTACCCATAGGATATTCAAGCAGACGGCCAATACTAGTTTTTCCAAAACCCATGCAAATAGTGCCACTCCACTATCCCACCCAACTTCAGCTCTGCTATTACAATAATTTTATTTAAGTTAACACGACTACACTTATTCTACAGAATGACAGGCAGAATGTATAACTACACTTATTCTACAAATGACAGCAGAATGTATGACCTTCATCATACTAATTTTTGATGCATGGTTATGCAATAGACAGGAGAATTTTTCCTTTCAAAGAATTTGCTTTGATGTAATGTCAGTTAATTCAGATACATAGCAGAACATTATGCTCCTGGTGCATTTTAATATTTCTGTGGTAAATTAATAATTTTAATGACTATATTTTGAACTAATCTACTTGTTTGTACAGTCATCCCCATAGAGTACAATGAGAAAGACCAACTAAGTTTGGCTGAGCAAACAGAAATAAGAGATGTTAATATAAAGGCATGATATTCCTTGATAAGCTCCAAGCACACTCAAAAGCATTATGGTGGTGGTGATGATGATACAGAATGAAAATCTGAAAAAATAATAAATATCAGATTTCTTAAAGAAGCACACACTTGAATATATGCTACTTCATGAGATATTTAGTTAGTAGGGAAGAACACATCTTTGTATGTATTTTGACACAGCATTGCAGGTAGAGAGATCATTTACATTCACTTTAATGACTTATGAAACTAGAACAAATTAACATGACCACAAAATTATAGGAATGAAAAGCAATTTATCACCTGTTTAAAGCATGCAATTTTGAGAGATTATTGTGATATTAAGAAGCTACCACTTGAAATTTCAAATAAATAAACATGAGATTAGACGAATTATGCTTCAGTACCTCCACACTAAGCATGGAATTCAAATTATTCTCCAAAGATGTAATGTATTAAAAGAGGTTAATGAGTCTGAGAGGTTAATTCAGGCAGTGAAACAAAAGGGGTTAATGCCAACATTAGACTTAATTATTCAATCATCAGACATTTTGCAGTTGGGAATACTTCTGGAGCCTCTCTTAGTAGAATTAGTAAAAGAAACTAAAGAATATTAATTGACTATTGGAATCAGGGAAAATTGTTATAAATTATTTTCCTCATAGCTTTATATACCAGATAATTAGCAAAGATCTCAGGAGAACATACTATATTGGAAATGTAGCAAAGAGTAAGGGACATTCTTTCATATGTAGTAGGGATGTGTTATGGTAGGGAAATTCTGGAGTATAGTGCACAGAGACATAGCAGAAATGGTAAACCAGAAATGTGAATGTTCTCCAACAATTTAAATATTAGGTGATTTTTCAGAAAGAATAAAAAAGGAATATAGAAGTTTCATCATAAATAAATTTAATAACTGCAGATGAACGATGATCATTCACAAATGGAGAAACCAAGCTATACTAGGGAGAAAGGCATGGCTACAAAGAATATGTCAAATTACGTTAATGGATAAAATTACAACTTATGGGGAAAGGAAGAAAGTGTTGCAAATCAGTTTTAGCAAAAACATTGATCACCATTTATTCAATACTGGAATAAGTATGATTCATTGGATGGAGAAAGAGAACCTATATTTGAGTGCTTTAAGTAACTGAGCATACTGGGGAGAAAGACAAATATTGTGGTGGTTTATAGTTTGCAATAACTTTTTAAAAATGCTGTCACTTGACAAAAAAATGAAAGGTTCTGAATATAACAACCAGTGAACTACTTTCAATAATTAGAACAGGTATTTATTTTGCTTTCAAGTTTGCTTCTGTTATGAAGGCCTTCTGAGCAAGGCTCTGTTCCAGCAAAAAGAACTCCCAACCACTTTCCTTTAATGAAGTTATAGTGCTTGTCCTAACTACCAACTTGAGCCTTTCAACAAAGATAAAAGCAAAAACTCAAAATCATGCTGATTCAAGACATTTTAAGTGAGACCAAGAGAGCATTTTCTTCAACAAGATAACAGACTTACATGCTTTTCGACTGGAAATTTTCAGTGGCTGAACCTGAACATCAGATCTTCTCAATGCAAGTCTCCTATAAAGTAGTTTAGAGGAAGACAATTTTCATTGCTATTTTGGGATTAATAAAAATTCAAGTATCAGTCTTTTCCATAGCAGCCTTTAAAAAAAAAAAACCCTCCTGAAACAATACAATCTATTCAAGCTCTATACAATACTGGAATCTAAAGAAAAAAGCCTGTAAGTGCTCCAGAAACAGCTGCAGTTCTTTTTTTCTACATAGTATAGTACAGTACATCAATGCAGATACAGATGATGATGTATTACTTCCCATCTGTTTTTTCCACCAAACCAGATCAGCACTATTCTGTCAGGTTTTGTCATTATTAATCTAACCAGACAAGTAAGGAAATCCAAACTATTTGGGCAACCACTTACCAAAGCCCAGACATTTTACCACAAGGCAAAATTTGAAAGTTTATTGACCTTGTAAGCCGCAAATGCAAACATACCAATTATACTCAGCACATACTGATAGCATTTTCAGTATCAGGAAAAAAACTTGAACTCCGCTGTAACTGCTCACCTTTCCTGGAAATGTTTTGAAGGAATTAGGCCGGCTCTGGGATTGGCATCACCTTCAAGCTTGGCTTGCCACCAGGTTGCATCATCCTGGCTCATGATCTGAAGAATATCACCTTTTCTGAATGGAAGTCCAGCTTCTTTACAGGGAATTGCTTTATCCTCACTGGGTTCATAATCAAACAGAGCTTTCATAAAAATCTGGAAGGAGAGCGTTTTACAATTAATATTTTAATATAACCCCCAGCCCCACTCCTTATTGCTTACTGGCATACCTGCCAAATATATGCTGAAAGACAATGATAATAATTTTACCCATGGAAGGGAAGTTCCTTTCTTATAACAAAGGAGTTCCTACCTTGCCTTCTTTAGATGGGGTTTCTTCTTTGATACTAGGTACAATCTTAAATGTAATTGCTCCTTTAGACTGAGACTGAAAAATATAAGAAAAAACATTTTAAAACTTAAATTTATTTATTAAAGAGCTAGCAAAAAAGAGGGAAGACATGTTGCTGCACAACCAATAAAACCTGTATAAGTCAGGAGAGTGCTTGATATATAGATGTTTACACACACACAGCATAACAGCAAACTAGAACTGGTGAACTACTAATAGGTCACATACTTCTAGTGAAGTCTGGATCTCTCTAACATGACCCAGAAGTCCAACAGATTTATAGCACAATTATACCAAGTCTTCAAAGAAACTGCATGGCACATTTTAAAAAGAGGATATAGAAGCCATTGGTTTTATTTCTTTCAAATGACCATGCTAAAGCCAGGTTCAATTTTGTAAAACACACAACAGCAGGAGTTAGACTTTTATTCCACTTCCTGGCTGGGAACCAAAGAACTACTTAGGCGCACACAAAGAAACAAACCTGCAAACTGTCTCCTTCAGTGTTAAGCACTTATTTATCTGTCTAGGGTGCTGAGAAGTGTCTTAACATTTCCATACAATGGAATTTGCGCAGTTCAAAACACACTATAGGTGCTGCTGGCCTCCTGCTGTTTAAGCATCAGGAAAGTATGTTTCACCTTCACTGAGACTTTTCACAACTTCCTGTAGCACCTCTCTGTGCACAAATAAGCAATATGAATGCTAGGCAAGAATTGGAAAAGTTCCTAATTAGAGAACATGAATATGGTTCTCTTCAAGGCCATGAATGTAAAAAATCCACTTTTCTGTTGAAATTAAGATTCTGTTTGTAACTTACCAGAATTTGTATAATTTCTTCTGGTTTTTTATCACCCACAGGAATTCCATTGACTTCTTTAAGCACATCACCAACATGAATGAGACCTACAGAACATTATTTAACATGAATCATTTTTATTTTTAACAATATGGTCCATTCCCAAATTCCTTCAAATCAAATTCTTTCCAATTCAGCCTAAGCAAAAAGCATCCAATATCTGGCCTTCTCCTGATACTCCACAACTGTAAGATAGCAAAGGAATATCTGAGGAAACTGAAGGTCCCACTTTTCAGTAAACATTGTTCAACTCATCTATTTGTGATGAATAAAAACAGTTACATATAGGGGTTTTTGCCTTCTGCTCTTTTGTTACTAAATTTAGCAGCACTGGCCCTGCAGCCTGAATGACAGTTTGAAATACCAATACAGCAATGTGAAGGGAGAAAGTACTTTGTTGTTGTTGTTGTTTTTAAAGGAAAACTTCCTGCGTTCAAGGTTCAGTGTTAAAATACAAACTGAAAGACTGTTATGTTAGAAGGAAACTTTTCTTCCTTCTTTTTTCAAGTTTAGATTCTGAAATCATCTTATCCTCTAACAGAGAAATCCCTTGCCTCCATACCGATCACAAAAGCAGCACAATGGGGCCTACTATAAAAGGACAAAGGTTAATGCACACTTGGGGGAAGTCCACATACGTGAAGAAGTTTCAGGACAGCAGGCCATCTATCCTGAGAGGGTGAGGGGAAAGTATTCATTTTTACATTAACCCTTTGTAAAGGTACCCCCCCACATAATTCTAAACAAGAACACGGTATAGTTCTACAATGCTCCTGTTCTTGGCTAACTGAACTACTCCTCTTAAGGCTTGGAAATATACTGCAACATGCTGTACATCCCCATTTCCTCACATATAGCAAATGTCATGGTTGAGTGCAAAACAGAATGTGGGAACGGACGAACTCCCAAGGTACAGAGAAGAATATGACTTAAGTTTGAAAAAATGACAGTGGCCTGATGAGGACTGAGTGTTCTATTTGTCCTTGTGAAAATGCAGACGGTGGGATACTGAAATCAAAAGGGAATGGAGAAACTGGCCTGCTCAGGAAGGTAGGAAGGCATGAAACATGTACTCCCCCCCCCCAATCCTCAATATAGTAGCACAAGAAGGGAAAGGTAAAAATATTACCTTTGCTACACTGTATCACTAGGAACTGGACAAGGAACCTTCCTTAGTCACCTACTCAAGGATGACAGCAATTGGTGCTATAGGGCAATTATGGTACATATTTTGACTGTTGAGGTTAACAACCAGGTGAGCAGTTAATTACTAAACTATTCCCAGGGATCTGTTTCACACTTGGTGTATGTGTGTGTGTGTGTGGAATGACCACTCCTTTGGGCCTCAGCTTGTCTTTCACTACTGAAAGAATGCACAGATATACTCATATGAAAAATATCACATTAGAGCTGCGCTCTGATAACTGTATAATCTACACTTCAGAAACTGGGGTGGGTTAACCACAACTATGGCTTTGCCTGAGCTTGTTTGGAAAGAAGAAAATACTTGCTTTTGCTCAATTTAAGATTCATTTGGAGCTCCAGCTGGTCATTACATTTATAGAATCACACACTTAAAAAGCTCTTACCACTTCTATCTGCCGCTCCTCCATTCATTATCCGAGCCACAACAACCGCTCCGGTATGCTCATCTCTTTTAATAGTAGCCCCCTTTAGAAATAATAGGGTTATAATTTCATTTTCAACTGCTCAGATTTTTTTAAAAAGATACAAACACAATATGTTTTCCACATCTCTTATATTATCTGTCTTTAAAAGAAGAGCATCTCGCTTAACAAAATAATTCCTACTCAGCCAAGGAATCTTGGAAAGTTTGCCAAAGGAAAAAAGTGACCTTGAAAATCATTCCACATCACACCACTTTCTTTGGAACACATATGGGGAAGAATTTAGTGCTACAAAAAGTGGTCTCTCTTACATTACTATAACTGTTTTTACAATTATGTAACAGGTACAAGACAAGTGCACTATGAATCAAGACATGTAGGAGCTGATGTGGAATGAATTACTTACTACAAGCAGGCACCATGGCCCTATCCAGTAAGTGTATTTACCAATCTTGATCACTTACCCCCCTCCCCAGTGCTGGTCAGTTCCCTCTATATGTCTTTACCCTTCACGTTTCCCTTCTCCTGCAAGCTACTGTTTGTACCTCTTCCCACACCTTCACTACCATGTTTGCCTCATCCCCCGTTTTCAGTCATGCCTCTATCAACTTATCTCTCATATAATTTCAGTTACACACTTACTTATCATATGTCGGTTTCCCCATACATTACTTCTCTTCACCCCAAGACCATAATCTCATCACTTTCCCAGATTTACTGCCCTATCCCACAAGCTTTTCTTCCAGCTCTCATTCTACGTAGCCGTTAACAGCATGTAACTTTCTCTGGGCCTTTGTTTTAGCTCATGATGTTGGGATGAGTGAGCACTTGGAACTTTCCCACAAGTAAGGCGGTCTTTACAGACTGGATGGAGTACACCACTCTGCACAGGGCAGTGATGTATGGCTTGGAGATCTCAGGACTGGATTGGTACATGTATTGCAAGTTTGGTAGTGGAGCCAGGCAGGCTAAGCTGCTTGCCTCCTGTAGCTTTTAGGCACTGGCTGGGAAACATAATACAGGTTGTGCAGGGTGGGTTCCCTGCATGACCAAAAGGGGGATTTCCCTTAAGGGGACTGGGGGGCAGGGTACATGATAGCCAACCTCAGCGCTGATGCACTGACCATGCTCCCAGGAAGAGGAGAATGGGCAGGAATAGCAGTTTTTGCTGCTTCCAGACGTAATACCAGCCCTCTTCCTTCTGTTACTCCAATAGAGCAGTTCAGGAAGGTGCTAACAGCAGTTGGGCTGTCAGCTACACCCACTGTTCCCAGTCTATGCTGTGCCAACACCTGAGAAACTTGTAATCAATAAAGCTGTGGCTAATTCTTCCCATCCTGGTAGTCTGTTGGCCCCCCCCCCAAGGGCTGGTCCCCTCTCCAGGCACAAGGTTCCTCCCCCCCTTGCAATTTTTCACATGCAAGCCACTACCAAGAGGGTGAACTACACTGAGAAGCATATTTCTGTGCAAGATTTTTATTGCAACTTCTCTTGCCAAGTCCATTTCACATCCCATACAACTAAATGGAGAGTGATCAAAAGCAAATACAAATGCACTGGTGAGTGTGGGACTCCAATAAGCAGACACATAAGTGCATAGCACATAAGTGCATAGTTGAACATGCTTTTTCTAAATGGGCTCAGCAAGGACTAGCTCATATTTAGATTATTTGCCCCCAAAGTCAGACTTGCTAATGAATTCAGAAAAATCTTGGTCTTTCCTCGTTGTGCACCAGTTTGGCTCATCTGCTGTAGACACTAGACTTGCTAGCACAGGTAAAATAAGGCCTAACTTACATATTACAAATACCAGTAGGAAACCAGTAGGAAACATTTCTTCATGCTTTACTGGATCAGAGAGATACTGATAACAGGATTTCAGATTAAGAAGTCCTCAGGCCACACTTCTTTTATTTTTTTTTGAAAAGTTTATTATTTTCTTACTACAAACATTACAAAAAACACTACAAACACTAAACTAAAAATAAGCTATACAAGGATCATATATAACGGTTATATGCATATTTAGTTAAAGCTTTCTCTATAAAAATGTAATTTTGGAATATAGCTATTTTCTACCGCTTCTATTACAAACTGGTAAATATATAATTGAATCAAGTAAGTACATCTCAAACAATAAGACTTTTAAGATACAATTCTGTTATATCTGTTTCTTCCCTTTACTTTTCTTCTTATCAAATTTTTATTTGACTTTCAAGACTTTTGGGGTCGCCGCCCCTAATTCTGATTCAGAGTCTTCTTCTGGATTACTGCTCGCTGTAGATTCCAGGACTTCCGACTCATGTGTGCTAGTTTCTTCTTCAATAGTTTGTTCCTCTGCTGTATCTTTTTCGGTTGCTGGTTTTTGTTGCTGTTCCAAGAACATCTTCGCTTTAAAAACAGAGTCTATCTTTTCTTTTTTATCTTTGTAGTTGAAGAGAAGTCATTTGGGTATTATCCATCTGTAGGGGGTGGAGTTTTTCTGCAAAAAGTCGGTTAAGTTTTTGTATTGGGTCCTCTTTCTTATTTCGAATGGAATGTCCTTTAAGACTCTAATTTCTTCATCTTTTATTTTTAAGGTTGTCCCATTTGTGGTCTTGAGCACCACGTCTCTTGTTGATCTTTTAGAGAATCTCGCCACTATCTCCCCAGGCAGGTTCTTTTTCTTAATAAATTCTGGATATGTCCGATAGATCA